GTTTGAAAAATGGTTTAGGACCTGAAGTCGCATGGGAGTAGGGGGCAGTGCCAGCTGCGGGTGAGACATCAGCCATGCGTTAACCGCACGTGGACGCCACGCTGCCTCGTCAGCAGTAACCAGAAGAACCCACTGGATCCCCGGCCACGCCGCAGCCCCTTTGATTCACGGCCTGCTAATGAGTTCTCGTAAAATTAGAGGGGGAAAAAAGCAGGTAAATCTGGTTCGTAGGACCTGTATGTTCTCGTGAGAGACCTTGCAGGCCACCTTCGCCCTGAGGACAGGCAGATATCTGGCCTCGCCCAGCTGGTTGGGATCTCGGGGTGTCTCTCAGAAGGGCAGCTGTGTACTGGTGTGAGCCTCGGGGAGGGCTGTGAAGGGGTTGGGGCCCCAGTGCCTGGCGTGTGGCAGGCGCGCTGTCAGTCCTTGTGCAATCTGGAGTTTCTAAAAACATGGGGCTCCTGTGAGGCGCCTTGGGGACCCCGACCTCGGCCCTTGGCCTCCCTACTGCAGCCCAGCCGAGGTCCTGGCGGCTTTGGGCTAATGGGTGTCCAGGGGAGGGAGGGCAGAGGTGAGGGTCGTGGTTGGCATTGCTGGGTGACACTTGCTCTCTTCCCTTCCAGCTGCCCCGCCCCTATGGCCGCCCGAGAAGCTGGCTTCAGGTAGAGCTGCCCGGCAGGGCTTGTTTGCAGTGCTGTGTGGGGTGGGGGCTGCTTGGAGTGCTGTGTGATGCCCTGTCTGCTCTGGGTGACCCCCGCAGCGCCCTCCCGTCTCTTCCTGGGAGCTGACCACCACCCAGGGTGCCCTGGTCCTGCCTTTAGATTCATCGTGGGATCCGCCCTCACTCTGAGCTGGCGTTACTGCCCAGCTTTACAAAGTAACAGCAAAAGAGTTATGAGACAGTAGCCTCTTGTGATACTCCACCCAGGCCCCTCCTTACCCACTTCTCACCGGATCTGCCCAGCTTGTGAGGTCAGGGGGCAGGTCGAGATCCGCAGTTTGCAGGAGAACCTGCAGTGCCTGGTAGGGTGAGGGCTTGCCGAGGCTGCAGGAGTTAGTGCTGGCTCCCAGCTGGCCCAGGTCCTCGGGTGGGGTCTCCAGGGATGCCTGGAGGTAGGAAGAACCTACCAGAGCCCAGTGCTGGGCTCCCACCCTTGCCGAGCGCTACAGCCTTGCCACCCCTGGGAGGTAGGTGTTACTGCCCTGTGTTAGGGTTTCGGAAAGCGGGGCTGGTGTCACTTGGGATCGGAGCCCTGTCCCCATGATGGAGACACCGACACCTCCCTGTACCACGAGGGCTGGCAGGCTGAGGGATGGCTCCCACTGATTGGGGTCCTGCCCCTGGTCACTGCATGCACATCGGCCCATGGGCCCTGGGTCTGGGGATCTGAGCGGTCACCTGCGGGCAGATTGCCAGATGGGGACGCCCCGGGCGCCTCTGTGTCGGTGCTCACCTTCCATCTCTGCAGTGGCAGGCCCTGCTTCACCTGTCAGGCACTGCCTCCCTGCCTCGGTGCACCCAGTAGGACCATGTCCTGTGGTAGCCTGCGGCCCACCCGAGGGGCTGAGAGCCCTTTGGGACCAGGAAGCCAGGGCGAGTAGCTGCCTCTGAGCGAGCCCAGAAAGCGGCCCCCTAGTGAGGAGCCCTGAGTGGAGGGGCAGGGAGGTGGGTGCCTGGCCTTGTTTTCTCTGAGTTCTGCCCTTGGCCCGTTTCTGTTCAGCACCTCCTTTGATGGTGCCCCCCAGGAGGCTCTGCAGGTGGCCTCAAGGGAACCCCCGGCTTTGCAAGCAGGAGTCCCTGGGCAGGCGATGACTAGGTGCTTCTGTTGCTCGGAGCCTCCTTGCAGCCCCACAGAGGCCCGGAGAGGCTGGGGTAGCCTGAGTTCACACCACCCGCTGCGACCCGCTCTGAGCTGGATAGCGTTGCAGTGATGGCCCTGGACAGAGGCCCCGAGTGCCCTTAACAGTGGGATGGGAGGCTCTGCAGCCTCCTGGGTCTCTCCCTCCCGGTCCAGAACTCTTGTGCTGCTTTTTCGTGGGGGACAGGGCGGGGTGGAAGCGGCCGTTGCTGTAGCTGCAGCGCTGGATCGTTTCCTTCCCTTTTAAGGATCCGGGCAACCCTGTTCCAGCTCCTGCTCTGTGTGTCAGATCCGCTTCCCTGTGTCCCGAGGGACCCTGTTAGGGGGCCTGGGGGGCAGGGCAGTCCTCTCCTGGGGAGCAGTGGTGTGCCCCGTGTCCTGCCCGCCCCGCCGCCCCCCGAAGGCCACTTCAGCTTCGCTCCACCTCAATGGTGAAACCCTAGGGATTTCATCTTCCAGGGCACCAAGAGGCAAATGGCAGGATTTTTAATTTGGGTTTAAGTGCAGTCGTGTTTCTTCATGTCGATGCGTCATTAGCTGCGTCATTAGCTGCGTTGCCCCAGCATTCTCCCTGCCAGCTTTGTGGCTTTTTGCTCATAAAGTGCCGTGGGCTCGCAAATAGTTATGGACGTCTCCGAAGGCAGGGGTGGGGATTGTGTGCTGTTAAGTAAAAACTCCCCACCCTCTTGCACACACACCTCCTCCCCAGGGAATTATCTGCCAGGAGGGAGGAGACAGACCCGTGTTTTCAGTAGCAGCACGTGGGCTGCTTCTGAACCCATTTGGTCCGGGATCAGAGACGCTGTGGGGGAGGGGAGACAGCCCAGAGCAGAATCTAGACGGGGTGCAGTAAGGACAGGGCAGCACCCGCCGTCCTGGTCCCAGGGGCCGACGGGAGAGAGCAGTGGCTCCAATGCCTGGCCCTGTGGTCAAATCCATGCCAGTGTGTGTGTGTGTGTGTGTGTGTGTGTGTGTGTGTGTGTGTGTGTGGCCTTACACCTGGTCCCTTGGCTTTCTCTCGCCAGGCAGGTGGGGATGTGCCTGCAGAATTGTGTCGGGGCCCCAGTGAGAGAGGCCTGCGGCCCCAGGGGTGGACGTTCAGCGTGTTGAGTCGAGAACGCGCTTTCCACTGGAGATTTTGTAACTGTCACAGAGATCTGGCCAGGAAAATAATTGGTTTTGGGATTTTTGCCTATAAATGGAGCTGGGGGCGAGACCCCCAGGGAGGCGGGGGTGCCCTGAAGGGGGGATCCCCATGGGAGGGTGAATGAGTGCTGGGCGAGGGGCGGCGTCTCTTTCTTGTTGGTGCCCGGTGGCAGAGGCTCGGCTCAGATAGACCCCTGGCTGGGCCAGGGAGGGTCAGTGTGCCTTGGGCTCTAATGCCTCAGGTTAACCCAAACAGGCCTTGGTCGGTGCGTGACAGTCCCATTTTAAGATAGAGGACTGTGACCGGGGTCCTCCGGTAAGACCCTGCTACAACTCAGGGGACCCCACTTCTCTCCCCTCTGTGTCCCTTGGTGACCTTGGCCACACTCCGGTGCTCCCTAGGCCACGGGAACAGTTCTTAGCTAGGCGGCTGGTCTCGGCTCTCCTCTGGCCGGCGGGAGCCTGGGGTGGGGATGGGATGGGAGTGGGGTAATGAGGGGAGTGACTGCCTTTCTCCTGTTCCCCCGGGCTGCCTCCACTCCTGTCCTACAGATACTTACAGGGCACTGCTGTGTGTGCCCAAGCCCTTGAGACCTGGGGCGTCTGACCTGGGTCTGATGGGGCGGGAAGGCAGAACCCAGGGAGTTGATGAGGCTGGAGGTCCTGTGAGAAATGGGGGCCTGGGTGCAGCGGCGGTGGGGGGGGGGAAGCTGGGTGTGTGCGGGGGCCCCCGGGCAGAGCAGGGGAGTGCTGGAGAGGAGGAGGGGCCCCCAGGAGTGGCTGCCGCCCCGTCTTGCTCCCCCAGCCCTGGCCTCTTCCCCTCCAAGGGTTTGTTTGGGCAACTCAACGACCTGCTGCTGATTTATGGGACGTTCCGCTGCATTTTATCTGCCCAGAAGTGTTTCCGCAGTTCCTTTGAAGTTGAAGAGGGTGTTGGGGCCAGAAGCGCCACCCCAGGGTTGTAGTGATGCAGAGGGTCCAGAGGCCAAGGTTTCTGCTCAGCGGGACCAGGGGACCTCCGCTGGATTGAGCGTGACCCCTGGGTCCCCCCCCACCCCCGGGTCCAGCCCCATCTTCTGCGGGGCTCTGCTTTGCCCCGAGGGGAACCACCTAAGGCCAAATATGTGCCTGTTCATTCATTCACTCACTCATTCATTCATTCACTCCTGCTTCCCCCCTCCTTCTAAGCGTGCCCTGGGCATTCATTAATCATGAGCCCGGCTGCGCTGGTACCTGTGGATACAGAGGGTGAGGCCCAGGGCTCACACTTACGAGCTTCTTTCTGACGGTGGAGGCTCACGGGCAGCGTGTCAGAGCGCTGTGCAGGGTCACCCCTTGGGCAGCCCCAGCCCTGTGGAGGCGGGAGGACTTCCCCGAGGACGTGGGCCCCAGGGGCTGCAGAGGCCGTTCTCCAGGACCCGAGTGCAGGATGCTGGAGCAGAGGAACAAGGCGGGCGGGGTCGGCGGGGGGG